CTGGCATCATAAATGAGGATGGAATAATGTGCCAGACTGATGGTGATTAATATACAAGCATGTTACTTCCTCAATTTACCTCTTCTGCATTTTGATTCTTTGATACCTAGCTAATTCAGCTAAGAACATTGTCCTAGGAGCAACCATCTCTCAAGGGCCAATCTTGGTCTACCAGCTTTGTAAAACCTTATGTATCCCCAGGGCATGACCCCCATCTCAACAAGCTGGTATGAGAATGTTACCCAAATATCTGTTCCTTTTACTTGATGACTACTTTGGATCTTTAATCTTTCTGGCTTCTCATTTCCTAATTCAGTCTTAGAAAATGAACTGATGGGTAGCTAGAGCTAATTCATTTGTTTGCAAATGTACCTGGAGGAAAAGACAGAAGAAATTGTAGTGGCAGACAACACCCTGTCAGCTGTTAAGGTGTTTTATTCCATATGGCAGCCTTTTGTGACAATCCTCACAACACTTTCAAAATTCAACGTCTTGGCCCCAAATGGTTATCTTTTCTAGTTCTTTCCCTAGTTCTTCCTGTTTTGAATACATGGCTACTTCTGAGCCCCACAATCCTTGATATTAGTTACTAATTGGGCCACATAGTGCCTCAGGTCTACTTGAATTAAAAGTTTGACACACTTGATCCATTGCAACTCTAGGAAGAGAGGGTTTTTTTTGCCATGCATTTTTGTTTGTTTAATTGAGATTTTAGTATTCAATTGTAGGACAGTGACCACTGAAGATGAGAAAATATGTGAAATGGAACTTTAAAAATAGCCCAATGTTCAATACCAAAAACAACAAATGTGACTATATAAAACGAGTAAGGTTGCTAATATAAAAATGTGCATATTGAAATATGTGTATAATTAAATTCCTTGATATGATTATGTATTAATGAAAAGGAAGTCAGACTTTAAAACTTTACAACTCAAGCTATTTTGAAGGATGAAAGACTATTATATGATAATTTTAAATGTAAAATTATGTTTTTTGAATTAATGTTATTTTGTAGTACTACAGTATTTTAAATAGAATAAATTGTGAGGAATTTATGCATTGCGAGGAATTAACACATAATATGGTTGTTTATCTGACTGCATTTTCTAGATGGAGTTGAAGCATCAGATTGGTAAATGCAATTCCCAGATTTTGTAGAATCCATTATATCTCTAGTCTAAGGAAATACTATATCATTTAAACTACAACAACAAAATGTTGAGATGAGATGAATTAATGGAGAAAAGAAATGAGACAGCATAGAGGGAAAATGCAGAAGTGCTGATCTTTAAATCAAAACTAATTATACATTTTATTATCTGTGTCTCAGTGTACCATTGATCACTATTAGTGTACACACTGTTTCTCTGTTACTGTGCATTACACACTTCAATAAATTGAAAGAAAACATATGAAATGAAATAATTTTACACAAACACAATAATCGTATTATTATTAATAATAATAATAATCCCAGAACAACCCAAATGTAATGTCCCCCCTCCCCCAGTCCATAACAGACAAATCAAATGAAATTAAACAGAGAACAAAAAAGTGAAAAACAATTTACAGGGAAAAAATTAAAAGAAAAACTCAGAATTCAAGCATTCCACAGATTGTTCAAAATAATCGAAAGCCTAGTCTAACTTCCATCTTTTTAACCAGGTGATATGAGAACAAATTTATTTTTTATTTTTATAGCTAGAAGAGGCTACTAGGATCTGAGATAGCCACAGTTAATGTGTACATTCACTGGTGATGTAGACTAGGCCTTTTAAAGCTTTCTGTGTGCACATGTCATGCACAAATGAAACTGCATCTGCACAGGTAGCCTCTGCACTGAAATGAATGAGAAAATGGTAGCCATTGTATTGAATGGAATACCTAAACACCTGAGGCATCCAATTCATTACTCTGGCAAAATTACCATTAATTTCAATGAGTCTGGGCTGCATATACAGATAGAAATCTAGTATGAAATTCTACGTGCATTAAAAAATTTTCCATCCCTTATTTTGCTTTATTCACTCAGTCATTATATGGTAATGCAATCAGTTTCCTCACAGCATGAAATATCTCTCATGTTTTTGCAGTTTTATAGAGTGGTCTTTTTTCTACAGCATTGGTATTCTGGCCTTTCCATTTAATTAATCCACTGAGCAGGTCATTTCCAATTCTGTAATTGTATGATTTAAGGATAGTAGGATTTTAAGGATGTGAATTCATATATCCACTTTTCTTACCGTAACATACCGGATGTGCATGTTACTTACTGTCCATGAGAAAATGGGTCATGGTGATAGAAGAATTGCCATTATCAGTCATGCATCCCCGTGAATAAAGGAGAAATTACAAACTCCAAAAGAATATAATTCTATATTTGGGAGAAATACTTGAAAATATGTCTACAGATTTTTTTCAATCGACATCCAGCAGCATTGCTAAAGTGACAATGAGAAATATATTTTACATATATATCTTTTCATTTTTCAATTGGAGGTGGATAAACCTGAGATTCTTCAAATATTATTGAATATCACTCCCATGAGTCTGAACTACTGGCCATACTGGTGGGAACTGGAGTCCAATAATATCCAAAGGGCCATAGATTCTCCATTGATTCTTAGAGAACAGCTCCTTAATCACTGTAACCATGGCTATATTTTTATGATATGGAAACATCAATGGCTTTTGTCTTCCCCTAATTACTTGTCAGTTTTCTTTTTCAAAAACAGGCCTATTGTGCGCTTACAACTGCAATAACAGTGTTTATAGGACCATTTTAAAGATATAAACCCTGTACTGCACATGGCTACCCATGCTGCTTCCATGTGACCATGGAAGCAGCAAAGTTGTGCACATTTTTACTTCTCTGGCACCCATAAATTGAATCAAAGAAACAGAAAGAAACAAACAGAAACAAAGAAAAATGAATTGTTTCGGTAACTTTCATTCTCTCTAATCCCCTTTTAGATTTGCCTGCTTTAGATATTTCAGATGTAGTGATGAGAGAATTCTGAAAAATGGGAAAAAAATTAGAAAGGCAGCGTGTGGAGAAATCAATAGACAAACCAGCTAGAAAATAAATATTACTGGACTGTTCAGTTGCACTGTCCCTGAATGATAGTTCCCAAGTAAAGCTCCTTTTTGGTACGTTAATCTACTCTGAACATTGATAAGTACATTATTAACATGTATTTATCAATATCTAAAACAATACTGATACTTTTTAATTAATGGAGACAAATGCCAATTCACTGCCAGACAATGCAGGTAGTGCCACATTTCTTGCTAGGACCCATTGTTGTTCTGAAGGCCAAGGGGTGGTAGAACTTTTTAACTCCAGCATGGAAGAATAAATTTGAATTACAGTATTCTGATGGTGGGTTGCCCTTTACAAATGTTCAGCGATTTCCACAGAGCAAGAGCAGGATCGGAAAGAATAAGCAATGCAAGAGACCAAAGAGTTGGCATCTGGAGCACATGCAGCATAAATACTCTGGGTAAAATGGGTGACTGAAAAAAAGCTCTGGTGATTTAGGGTTCAACACAGCCGTCCATACTTAAAATGAACAATGAAGTCCCAATTAATTCCAACAGTCTAGTAATAAACAGGCTAAATTCATCCACAACTCAGTGGTAAAGCACATGCTAGCATGTCAACTATCCAACAGTTCAATTCATGGAATCACCAGTTAAAATAGTTACAGGGCTGGAAAAGCTTCTCCCTGAGATCTCAGAGAATCCCTCTAAGTGAGAGTCCTGGGCTAGATAGGTCACCGGCTTGACTCAGTATAAACAACTTTCTGAGTCCTGTACTTGACTGGTAAACAGATCCCTTTCTATGTGATGAAACTTGCACAGCTTCTTCCCTTTAAATCCTAAGACTTTCTCCAGCTCTTGGTTATTGCTTCTTAGGAACCTTACACAGAACAACAGAATGAATACCAGCCATTTCTGGACTCTCACTCTGTTCATTGAAAAGAAAAGATATGGAAAGAAACACACTTGCATTTTCAATGGTCAGTCAGCTTCACTATCACTATTCCATGCTATATTACAGATTATGGTTTGCTTCATTCATGCAAAGTATTACAACAAGTACAATGAAAGCATTCCCAAATCGGAGTATGAGAAAGAGCATAGCAGCAAATATTGGTAGATGGAAAGGGCATAGGAGGGAACTGAAATTTATCTGACAAAACATGTCAGAAATACAGAGAAAAATGCTAGGGCTTCGGGCATGAGTCTATAATCAACAGTCTGGAGCAAACGGAGAATTAATTAAATATGGTTTAGGTGGCTATTTTTCTTTTAAGAGAGTGCTGGTCATAAATAGAGTTCTGAAAAAAATGGGAAAGGGTTATCTGTGGTTTAATAACATCTGAACAACCAGGCAGTTAAGGAGGGATCAAAACAAAAATAAAAACAAACAAAACAAAACCTCAAACAAAATTATCCCCCCTCTAAACAGCATAGGGTTGGAACACCCTTGGATTCTGTTGGTCACTCTAGACTCACATGTGTTATTGAGGATGGTGATTCAGCTTGTTCTTGAGTTAATGAAGAAGGCAACAAAGATATTGGTCAGAAAGTCAAGAACTCTCACTTAAGTCCTTCACCCAATATGATATAACCTAAGGATGGTTGTTGGTCTTTCTAAACAACCTCCTTTGACATCCAACTGCTCCTTAGAGAGGGAAAAGAAAGGGAAATACAAAGTAACTCCATCATGACCTTGTAGGCTGAGTTGCAAAGATGACCCTGCACCCACGACTCTATTGCAATGCTGCTGCTCCTGGTGAAGACTCCTGCAGATTTCAAACTCCTGCCACAAAGCTACATTCCATCAATAGGTCAGTGAACATGGCAAATGTCTTTTCTTCTCTGTTCAATAATATTAGATCTATATCTATATATATCTCTTTCTATATATAGATATATATGTGTATATATATATATATATATATAAATAGATACTATCTTCAATTGTTTTTTTAGAAGCCCTTTATGTGGCAGTAGGCTTCCATAGATGAGAAAAATATGTACAAGAGCCAGAGCAGCACAAAGAGGCTTGAGGTCAGAAGCTTGGCAGTCCGTGGCCCGCCTAGCTCACCTCCAATCTCTGGTCTTCGCCGGTAGAGGAGCACACCAACACTGATAAAAGCAAATATAGTGAAGAGGGTGACAGAGAAAGCCAGGTTGCCTGGTTGGACTGCAAATGTCTCTCCATTGGCTGCATGGTAGATTGCAGCAATGGACCAGGCTACGCCGATTCCCAGGAAAACATTCACAGCGTTGCTACCAGTGACATTACCTATGGAAGCATCTGCATATTGATCTTGTGTTGCTGCTACTTTGCTGGCAAATGTATCTGTAAAGTGAAAAGAAACACTATTATTGAACCTTGTGCTGTTAGATAAATGGTTTTCTAGCAATAGCAGGATGGTACATTGACAAATAATCTAGCCAAAAGCAAGATCTGGATAGACTTCGAAGTTGCACAGTCTAGAATTGATATTCTACCAATCTTAGCCCAGTGGCTTTTTTCCTGTACTTCTGGCTCTACTAGTAATTAGACACAGTTTTAAATCAACTTGTTAAAAAGAGCTACTAGCAAACTGCAATCTTTAGGTCTCTGTTTACAAAGCCCCTTCCCGGTACATTATGCCAATATGCCAGATTTTAGATCGGGGTGTCAAACTTGATTTCGTTGAGGGCTGCATCAGGGTTGTGTTTGACCTTGGGGGGCTGGGGTGGGCAAGGCCAGCTTGATGTCACTCACGTTGGGGCAACTGTGAAGGCCTGAACCCTTTGCCAGCAAAAACAGAGCTCGGGAGGGCCACCTACAACCCTTCCGAGCTCCATTTTAGGCTGTGATGGTTTTCTGCAACCCTCTGCCAGTGAAAATGGAGCTCAGGAGGGCCTCCCAAGTTTCATTTTTGCTGCCAGAGGCACTGCGGGCCACTCTTTCACTGTTTTCGGGGCAGCCCCATGAGCCAGATCTAAACACCCTGCAGACCGGGGCCGGCCCATGGGCCTCGAGTTTGACACCCATGGTTTAGATTTTAAAGTTAATCTAATCCTGTGTTCTGTGGATTTCCCCCCGGAATGGGTGTGTGCTATCACCCAATCCTTCCTCTTTTTTGGTTCTGAAATTTCTCCAGGTCTTCACCTTGGTGGGTTGGATGCACTCCCCCTGCAGTTCTGCGGCGGGGGGTGGGTGGGTGGGTATTTTAAAGATACCCCTCTACATCAGGACATATGCCAAATGGGGATGGCTCTGTAGAATCCCAAGCCATGTGCTCCTCATTTGCTTTTTTTTACAGGGAATCTGAGATCCTATTCTGAAGAAATAGCTGGCAGAGAATATGAAGCTTATTTGTGGCTTCTTCCATTTGACCAGGATTTTGATGTATCCTATTGCTCGATTAAGTGCCTCTTTTTGTTCTCACTCATCTCATTTACTCACTCAACCACAGAATAGCATTAATCTTAAGTGATCATTGCTATTGTGCTCTTTTATTCTATTTTTGTTTAGTTTTTATTTATATCTATAATTTCTAGATATATGTGCTTCCGTGTTTGAAGTGCAGTTTTTTCTGCCTGTATAAGGTAGTAATAAACATCAACTGAAACCACCTAAGCCCAGTGGTTCAGACATTAAAGGAATTGAAGTAGCTATAACTAAAAGGGGATCACAACGTATGCCTGCATTTCAAACCATTTTTGCATCTGCAATCAATTGGAAGAGACCTGATACACGGGAGAAATAGAAGCTGAACCTACAACTTCAGCTTCCATTTTTCTCCTGCCCAGGATCTTCGGATGGTTAAGAATAATCTGCTTTGCAAATTCCTCTTTTCTCTCTCCTCATCATTCCTTCTCTGGAACAAAAAATATTTTTCCCCCTCTATGAACTGTTCAACTGCCCACTAACAAACACCGTGATTAAGACAGTGTAGTTTTTCTTACAGCTATTTTTTGAAATATAAATTGGAATTATGGTTCCTAGCTCTCATAATTACATTAATGATAATGTGATATCATTTCATAATAATATTAAAACAATACTTGTAATATTAACACAAACTCTATAAAATAAGTTTAGGGGACTTAGTATACTTTGGACTTAACTGATTTGATGATGCGAAGCCCCAATGGGTGCTTAGCACAATGGTAAGTCATTATTGGCAGGATCATGCTTCCCTAAACCAAAGCACGTTATGCCTTAGCAGAAAGTGTGAATCAGCTCAGAAAGTGACTTGTGAAAAGCATAGATCTACTGTATGAGTTCATGATAATGGTAATTTCTGAATCGGGTCTGAGGGCAGATAGTTTGAACAGCTTCACTATACAGATAACCCTTGACTTACAACAGTTCATTTAGTGATCGTTCAAAGTTACAACAGCACTGAAGAAAGTGACTTATGACTGCTTTTCAGACTTATGACTGTTGCAGCATCCAATGACGCCATGTGATCAAAATTCAGATGCTTGGCAATTGATTCATATTTATGATGTTTGCAGTATCCCGGGGTCATGTGATAACCTTTTATGACCTTCTGACAAGCAAAGTCATGGAGAAGCCAGATTCATTTAATAACTGTGTTACTAAGTTCACAGAGGCAGTGATTCACTTAACAAATGTGTCAAGAAATGGGGCAAAACTCACTTAATAAACATCTCACTTAGCAACAGAAATGTTGCGCTCAATTGTGGTCATGTCAAAGAATACAGGTATCAACTTAAATGGAAGCTAAAGTAAATAAAATAGATAGGCATTACTATGAAAATATCAATTTGGCTCCTATTGTACAAAATCAGATTAGAAGGCAATCCAAGTTGCACATTAATTACTTGTCTTTCTGTATTCCAAAGCATTGTTGGATGTCTACCTCTTTCATCCATTACCTGCATTATTTAATTTTCCTGAACAGATGCTAATCTTATGGTGCTCCAGTCACAAACATTTCACTAGTAAAGGAGAATTGATTGTTATTTAAAATCCATCCCAAGTATGCAACTATATGTATTTTGTAAAAAAAAAAAAAAAGAAGATAAGTATTCCAAGCTGTTTTAACTGAATGTTTTCAGTACACCAGCCTCGGGTCACCTTGGATAAAAAGAGAGAGAAGATAGCTCAGCCTACAAAAGTACTTCTTTAAAATGTCATTCTTGGCAGGAGTTTAGAAACAGCTTTTTTCTATGATATGTTGGATGCAGGTCTCAGCTTCATCCCCATAGAAAGGCAAGGCCAAATAGGTAGGGCAAGAATATTAATTTATATTAAAATTCAAAAGCTACTTTCACTCATAAAAATAGCACTGTGGACATTTCTATAAGGGCTGTTAAAAAAAGGTAATTTCTCCAGAGTTCTGCCTCTGTTGCTCCACAGCAACTGAATAATTAGACTGCAGAAGTGATGTCAAAATAAGAAAGTTCATTCTAGGTCCTTCTGCAACAGCCAGCAGAGTTTTTGGCAAGCTGTGGGTGGCAAGGTTTCTTGCAAAACACTCTTCATTCACAGGACAGTTTTTATGAAATTTATTGGTTTGTTTATTTATTAATAAGTTCAATTTACATAGCAGCCCATCTCACATTCTGAATTCTGGGTGGCTAACAATACTAAAACACATTGTAAAAATATCAGAAACAGAAAGGCAGCATACATAAAACATGAGCTGGGGTTTAAAAAAAACCCAAACTCATCAATAGAGTAACAAACCAGCACAACCAATATATTTCCTATTGTCCAGACACCTGCCTGTCAGGTGATCATCTGACTAACTGGGAGTTGAATACTGGTTCCTTTATTAGTAAAGGCATGAGGAAACTAGTAAATTGCATGTAGGTCTCAACTTACAACAGTTCATTTAGTGACCATTCAAAGTTACAATGGCACTGAAAAAAGTGACTTATGACCACTTTTCACCCTTACGACCATTGCAGCATTTTTATGGTCATGTGATTTACATTTGGATCTTGACAGCTGGTTTATATTTATGATGGTTGAAGTACCTCAGGGTTATGTGATTACCTTCTGCAGCCTTCTGATAAGCAAAGACAATTGCGGAAACCATGTTAGTAATTTAACAACTTCAGTGATTCACTTAACAAATATGACAAGAAAAGTCGTAAAATAGAGCAAAACCCACTTAATGAATTTTTCATTTAACAACATAAATTTTGGGCTCAGTTGTGGTCATAAGTTGAGGACTATCTATACTAGGCTGGAGAAAAGTGAGATCTGCTTATGTGTGTAAAGGTTCATGTTATGTCTGCAACCGACTTCTATTTTAGCAGCCCAAGTTGGGGCTGAAAACTTTGTCTATCCATCCCACCCCCACAACTTAGAAAACTGTTTTGTGATGCAAATTATGAGAATTGTCAGTGAGAACATTAGCATCCTGCATAGAATTGTAAACCCTAGGGTTCCCTATGAAGAGGGAATTTAATTTTAGTTTCAATTTATTTTATGGCATATAGATATGATAATGAAACTATGGCCCAAAAGGACATGCTGTCTTCAATCTGGATCCTTCAGCTGAGTGTATGTTGGCCATGCTGTTTGGAAATTTTAGGAATGACAGAGCCAGATTTCTGGAAATTACCAGATTCAGAAAGGACTTAGGCAATCAACTTTTGATAAGCACCTTTCAATTTTTGACTGATCATTTCATTTTACAAATATTGTTCTGGCATGGTTGTATGATTTATAGGTGTGAGAGTTTTACTGGGTCTTGATTATTCCTTTTTTCCTTCTTTAAGGAAAAAATATTCTGATAATTGTATTATGTTTTTATTAATCAAATTTATATGGCCACCCATCTCATGGAAAATGACTCTGGAGAGCATATAACAATAAAAATTGTTATTTTTATTAAACAATGCATTTCTGAAACAAATAAATAATTTTGATTGACAATTTGACATGCAGATGAATAGTTTAGTGGAACTAGTGAATTGGGACACAGGTGGATTTAACTATAAGCTCTAGCTATTTAGGTTAAATATTTAATCTATTTATTTTAAAAAAATCTGTGTATTCTACTTTTCTTAGGCCTTCCATAATGACAATGCAAAAATTTGGAAGATCAATAGACAGTGGGAAAGAAATACAGAACACTCTATTACTTTATTGGTTCTTTGAGGTTTTGCCACTCTAATATGGTCAGTTTGCCCTTATTTAAAAAAATATCCCTCTTTATTTCATTTTGACTGAAATTCAGCAGCATCTTTTGGAAGGGTTCTGCTTGCCATACCCAAGACTTGGCTACTGTAAGGATCTTGGGGCCTCTATCAAACCATGAACATAAAGATAAACAGTAACATGACAAACATTATGTTAATAAACATAGTTTAAGTATCATCACGTTATTCAGTGAGATCAACAGGACTGAACTATATGCATGAGTTCTACTACGTTCCAGTAAAGAATTCCATTTCTTTAAAAAGAAACTTAGAAGCATCTAAGTGGCAAATAGATGTCTCATTTGGATAATTCAATTACCTTATCTAGCAATGATTTCAGTCAAATATTCCTACCCCTAGCATTCATACTACTGACAAGATGATTGTAATTTATGTTGAAACTGCAACTCTATTACACATCTATTCTTCGCTTAAAATTGAACGTGACTCACAATTTTACCGTATCTTTTGTTCCATAAGACACACTCCACGCCCCAAAAGTGGGCGGAAATGTCTGGGTGTCTTATGGAGCGAATATGGTGAATAGCAGCCGGGCTGCGGCAGCGGGGTCCTTTTACAGTGCTGAACCCCGCCTCTTCTTTTCCACAGTGCAGGAGTCAATAGGCAGAGCTGGCACATCAGAGGACACCTATCTGTGGTCCCTTCAGGCTCCGGTTCAGAATATTTTTTTCTTGATTTTCCTCCTCTAAACCTAGCTGCGTCTTATGGAGCGAAAAATACTGTAAATATTACTCAGAAAAAAAATTATGATGCTGGGAATTAGGCAATGAGATTGATACGAAGCTGTCTTGTTCAAAAGATGTTTAATGCAGGGTTAAGTCAATGGAGAATGACACATAATTCTGGGCCTCACAATGCAAATTAATAGAACTGGCCCTTTAACTGTGACTTCCCACTTGCTCGCTTCCTCTGCTTGGGCCTTGGTTGTCTTCCCTGCCACTGGACATGGACATCAAGATCCTAATCATTAATTGACGCCATTGAGCAATATAGAAAGCATTTTATTATGCTTTCTATAGCATAATTATTCTATTATGCCATCTTGAAGTAGACTTGGGAACAAAAAGATTTCAAAAACCACTAAGTAGAATATTAATAGTAAATTTACTTAGTATCATTATGAGTGTTTTTTTAATTCTCATCTTATTTAATTCTCCCTAAAACTAGTAAAAGGAAAAATTTCCTAATAAATCCAGGGATGTGAAAGACGAAGTATTGATTACATAAGATTAAAATATGTTCAGAAAGAAATGCTACGAATATAAAACGAGGAAGAATCCGACACAATCACTCCAGTTGTCTTTTGTGCAAGCCTTTTCACTGTAATCATTCTGGAGAAACTAGGAAATTTACCATAATTTATTTAGTCTTCTTAATTTTAATTGCTTTGCATTATCCTTTTTATCTTTTTATCACATTGCAAGCCACCCGAGTTGCTGTAATAGTGAGATGGGCAACATATAAATGTAATAAATACATAAATAAATAAATACATCTTATGACCTCTATTGTACTCAGAATTATTATTCTACTTTGTTTTATCTCTTCAGGCCAAAACATTTTTGTAACCTTAGAGTTAATATACTAGAAGAGATCTGTAAATGCCAATATATTCTTAACAGATATGATACAAACATGTATGTGACATGTTTATATGGAAAAATGTATACACAGAGTGTCAGCAAGCAAATTTCCCTGACATTCCCATAGTGCAGGAGGCCATTGCTAAATGACTGAACACAAGCTGTATATATCAGGAAATTCTATGATTAATATTTTCAGATATGTAGTTGAATTACACTTTAACCTGTGCAGTTTTAATATTTAATTATTTTTGCTTGTTTTATGACTTGTTAAGTACCTAGACTAGAGTCACCTTGTAGGGGAATGGGTGGCATAAAATGTCATAAGTTATAAATAAATAAAATAAATAAATGTATATATCTTCCCTAGTTTATGTGTAGAGAAATATGATCTATAATTCCACTGCTGGGGACAACCTAAAAACGCATCAGATAGTCAGGTCTACTGTTCTTGGAATCACTTTTATTGGTCTTGTCCCAATGAGTTTTCTTCTGCCTTTAAGTAACATCAACTATGCCTTGCCTGAATTTTTTTACCCCTCCACTTCTCTATATACAGATAAAACATGTGACACTAAAAATTTATCATCCACAGAGTTAGGATCCATAGGAGACAGATTACAATTGTTCTATCATTCATCATATCATATCAAAGTAATTTTTAGAATGATAGAAAAGCACCTATTGCCTTGATGTATCATTGGGACCATGAAAAGGAAGAAAAAATTAAAGCCCCTTTCCATACCTTGTGTGGACCCTACTGTGACTGGATTTCATAATCATGATTGTTTGCTTTCTAAAGCAATGCACAACTGACATTGTACCTCTCTGTAGCACTTTCAGATAGGAAAACCTATTTAATATCTTGCTTATTTTGAGACTGTATTCGTTTTTTTTTTATGGTTACTTAAAATTTGGCAAGCTTTATGTAAATGTAGCACTTCCGAATAAGTAATGTAATAAGAAATAGCATTTTAGATAAAGGTTAGTTCCCAGAGTCAAGAAGTAATAAATGGAGTGGCTTTTCAGCCACAGATGATTCAAAAATATTTTTTTCTGGTTTAAAAAAGGTTAATAGGATAGGGAAACACAACCTAGAGCTACAATTGGCAGTCATTTGTTCTGAAATAATCCGTGAGATTCCAGTGGAGTTTATCTGAAGTAATTGCAGCCAAATTCTGGATTGTTCCAGGCTTACTGGGAATACTCATTTTACAGTGAAGGAAGTAATAGCAGGAACATAAATTATTTTTGGTGTCTTTTATTTCTTTTTTCTTACCTGGTACTGAAGTTCCCAATGCAACAAATACGACTGCAGTTACAGAATCCTTCAGGCCAATTGTGCAGCCAAAATGGGATGCCAAATCCCCAATGAAAGCTGTGAGAAGGCCAATCATGAGGATGGACACTACGAAACAAGCCCAACCATTCCAGTAGTCTGTTGGGGGCACAAAGGCAAAAAGGACTTTCCAGAAGACGGTCAGAAAGTGCATCACATAATCAAAGCAGGATGGTAGCTTCTCTTCGCCACATTCATCATCATCGTCATCCTCTCCTGAAAGAGGAAAGAGAGAGAGGGAGGGAGGAAGGGAGGGAGAGAGAGAGAGGGAGAGAGAGAGAGATGTTCATGAAGGATGGTTCCCAACTATAAGGCTGAGAAAAAGACCACTGAAAGCAATGGGAGGCAGGTGTAATTGACTCTGATAGACTAACACCTAACTACATAAGAAATGATTACTGTATATGTGTAAATAGACTTTATTATTTGTATTCATGACAGCTTCCAAAACCAGCTCAGAATATGTGACAACTGGCCTATAGGCACCTTACATCCACATGGCACAACCAGATGTTGGTGAGCCCAAATTCACAGGCTCTTGTAACAATTCAAAGGATGAAGTGAAGATGATAAATTATTCTTAGAATGGTAAAATGGTAAATGTGAAGACCACAGAAAAAAATCAATATTAAACAACAAATATACCATGAAACCAAATAATTGCATTTTAAAATATAGTAAAGACACAAAGTCATTTTTAAAATGGGCTTTGAATTACCATAACTTCTACTTGTTATAAATTTGCTGATTAACTGATTAAACACAAGCATAATTATCATATAATTGCCTTTTTGAAAAATGAAATATATAACAGCTTAATAAGTATACCATATCACTTAAGAGGGAAAGGCCACTGTATTTTTCAGTCCTTGTGAGAGAAGAAAAAAAGCATTTTCTACTTCATACATCATTCCATTATTTTATAAATATATTTGTTATATTGTTACATTGAGTTCTCTTTTGCATTTCAAAAAAGGGTCGTGGGAAGTTTGTTTCTGCTTCCTGATCAAATTGTTTTCTGTCTTCTATCCATTTTGCATTTCTACCAAATTTGTCTTGCGTTTTAATTTTTCTTATTAACTGTATCTGTTATTATATTGAGGGGATATGGT